CCACACCTTCCTTCCCCTGAAACCAACCAAATGTCCAGGTTTGCCTAGAATTGAGGGGTTTCTGGAGGCAGGACTTTCACTGCTAAAACGGGGTCAGTTCCAGGCAAACGGGGACAATCGGTCACCCTCCTCCTCGCCCCACCCCCAGGCTGCTTCCTCTTCCCCATGGTGAATATGGTGCCCTGGGCATTTCAGCATTCTCTCTCTCTCTCTCTCTCTCATCGTAGTTGACCTCTTCTGCCTTGAAGCCTCTAGTCCAGGGCACACCACCCCTGGCCATTCCCTCTTGCGGGACCAGCCAGCTCTCTACCCCTCAAAACTTGCCCTACCTATCCCTAGAGGATGTGGCTCCACCCATACCTCACTGCCATGAGCGGCCCCTGGGGTGAGCTTCAAGGTGGAGGAGAGCCTGTCTATCCCATGCAACCCTCTCCGCCTGCCCAGAGGAAGGAGCACCCTGGGCACACGCAGGCAAGCCTGTCTGCTCCACGCTTCCAGGGTCCGCAGGCCTGAGTCCTTGATGTTGTATGGGCCTTTCCCCTCTCCGCAGTGCTCACCCCCAGCTGTGCTAATACTCTGAGGCCTCCTGCTCACTCTCCCTGGACCCCCACTGCTCTGCCTGGCCCAGACCCCCCTCCCAGCTCTGGACACAGCTTCCTACTTGTGTGCTCACCTCCTTGTCCCCCCAGCCAGGTGAAGCACACAGTAGGTGCCCTGATGGGGCAGCACTTGGCCTCTGGTGTGGGCAGCTCTTAGAAAAACACTCGAGTTACTTTGCAGCCTCCAGGGAGAAGGAAGATCCCCATCGGGGAGCTGTGCCACACAAGGGTTCACCTCCCACTGCTAGGCCTAAAGCTGGAAAGCTCTAGAGGCCCCGCCCGGGTGTGCCCTGAGAGCAGAATGGAGGGGTGGGTCCCCAGACCAGCTTTCCTTCTGCCTCTAAGGCAGCGGTTCTCAACCTGTGGGTCGCGACCCCTTTGGCGCGGGGTCGCCTAAGACCATCCTGCATATCAGATATTTACATTACGATTCATAACAGTAGCAACATTACAGTTATGAAGTAGCAGCGAAAATAATTTTATGGTTGGATCACAACATGAGGAACTGTATTTAAAGGGCCAGAAGGTTGAGAACCACTGCAAGTCTAAGGGCTTTGGCCCTGCCCCGCTCTGGCATGTGTGTTGTTGGGAGAGGCGGGCCCAGACTTTGTCCCTGGCACCTGGAGCCTACCCAGGACTGGTCCTTTTGGCCCAATCGCATGCACTCTGAGTCTTCACCCAGGGCCAGGCCTGGCCGGACCTGAAAGGCCTGCATATACTCTAATAGAGCGGTCGCCAACCTTTCGGACCTCACGGACCACCTGTGGTCCGCGGACCTCCGGCTGCCGACCGCTGGTCTAGTCAGTAGGACTGAGCACAGCAGTGTCTTCAGGCAGGAATAGGGGGAGTGGGGGAAGTGGGTCTGTAGGAAAAGAACACCATGCTTTAAGCCACCTTCTTGTCTCTCCTTACTCAGAGGGCTGCTGCCTAGTAACTGGGCTCTTGTGCAATCTAGCTTTGCCCATCCTCTTCCTCAATATCCACCCACCCACCCAGAGCTCTCCAATGGGCCCAGTGACCCCTAGGGGTTAGCCCCAGTCAAAAAGAACGGTCCCAGGCACCGGGACGTGAGCCTGGAACTGGACCCGGTGGGATCCAGAGGCAGGCGAAGCACAGGGCCTGTTGCCAGGAGCTCCAGTGCTGGAGATGGGTGGCAGCCAGAGCCTGGAGTTCAGAGGCAACAAGGCCTGGGGGAGGGGAGCAGGCAGAGGAGACTCCTGAGCGGGTGGGGCAGGAGCCCGGCCTTGCAGGATTTTCCTGGCAGGGAGTAGCATGAAGGGAGGCGCAGACAGGATGCTGAGAATGTACGTGCCTCAGGATCTCCTGCACCAGGTCACAGGTCTCCACACACCACACGTCCACAGTGTGTGCAGCCCCCGCACCCCTTGGGATGCCTCAGAGGAAGCATCCAGAGGTGGCTTTCAAGGTTCCCTGAGGCAAGAAAACTATTTTGAGCTGCACCCTAGTAGAGACACATACAGATGTTACGGTGTTTTTTCATTTCATTTGCCAGTGACTCGAAGTAGTTACACCTCATTTTATAAATGAGGACCAGAGGCATAAGGAACTTGCCAAAGCCACGCAGCCAGTAAGGGGTGAAGTTAATTTGGAATCTGCCATTGCACTCTGCCTCGTTTTATGACAAGGCTGAGGAAGGGCAAGGAGTGCTTGTATTTAACCATCACCCTTTCTGGAGACAGTGGCCAGGGTCTGAGTAGTGCGGGCTCCATGGGCGTGGCCTCTGCCCGATCGGTGCTCCCATCTCAGCCTTTCTTCCCCTGCAAGCGTTCCTCCTCTTTCCTTCCTCGACAAGAATCTCCAGACTTGCAGCCACCTGCCCTCAGGGTTGGCTCTGGGTCTGTGGACCATAGACCCATAATACCTTCCAAAGGGAAGAGATGTGACCCAGACCTGTGAGGGGTGGGGGAGGGCGCTGGGCAAGGGAGGCAGGTGCCCTGGTGGTTTCTAGTACAGTGGGGCCTTGACTTACGAGTGTCCCGACTAACGAGCTTTTTGAGATACCAACTGTCGACTGATTTTTTGCATTGAGTTGACAGAGTAATTTGAGTTAACGAGCTCCTTAACGAGCTCGGTCTCGGAACGAATTAAACTCCTAAGTCAAGGCCTCACTGTAGTTGCATCTGTGCCTCATACAGGCTGTGCAGCCTAGGCAAATGGGGCTACCTTTCTGAGCTTCCTCACCTCCATGCTGGTGGAGTTGGGAGGTGGGCATTACAGAGACTTAAGGAGGAGGAGCTGGGGGAGCCGGAGGAGTGAAGGGGAAGACCACGCCTCCCCAAACCGGGCTTTTGCGACTCTGCTGCCCCCTAGTGGTGGCACGGAGTAACAGCATCAGGGTCTCCTGGAACTTCATGCTGGTCATCTCCCTGCCTCCCCCAGACAGGGAAGGGGGGTTCCCTCTTAGTGGCCTTTACCAGCCCCCGCCTCCCTCAGGGCTGCCTGCGGTCTGGGTGAAAGGCAGGCACAGCCTGCCTATATATAAGATACGCACAGCTGCGCCCAAGATGGCATGGGCTATTCCCTCACATATTCATTCTGTGTGTGTGTGGGGGGGTGGGGGGGCTGTCCTTTTCGAGGGCGCTGTGCCAGGCCCTTGGCACCCATTTCTGCCCTCAGAGCGCCTCTGTCCAGCGGGAGAGCACACAGGCAAATAAGGCCCCGGAGAAAACAGAAGCGTGCGGGGCCGCTCTGAGGTGTGGCAATGGAACTCTTGGGCAGCCCAGGACCAGAAACTGCGGGGCTCTGACTGTTGGTTTGTCCCACGTGGGCCTCCAGCGGCGCTGTGCCAGGCCCTTGGCACCCATTTCTGCCCTCAGAGCGCCTCTGTCCAGCGGGAGAGCACACAGGCAAATAAGGCCCCGGAGAAAATAGGAGCGTGCGGGGCCGCTCTGAGGTGTGGCAATGGAACTCTTGGGCAGCCCAGGACCAGAAACTGCGGGGCTCTGACTGTTGGTTTGTCCCACGTGGGCCTCCAGCCCGATGGGCTTCTGCCACTAGGTCAGTGGAGTCCCTCCTGGCAGGCCCTTCCAGAAGCGCTGGGTCACCCTCGCCCGGGACGGCTGGATTTCTACCTGTGCCTCCTGTCCCCCTGGCTGGGAGTGGGACCCAGCAGGACAGCAGACCTTGCCTCACCCTTGCAGCCTCTTCTATCTATACCCCTCCTCCTCGGCCTGGTCTGGGAGCCTGGGCTGCAAATGTGGTCGAGAACATTCGTCTCAGCTGCATCTCCCCTCCCAGGCTGATGCTCTGCAGGCCTCTGGCTCCAACACGGGTGGGCAGCGGACGGGAAGCCTGCCGGCCATGCTCCAGGGCCTGCAAAAACTCAGCGGATGTGGGGGGCAGCGCATGAAGGTGGAGATGGGGCGAGTGTGCCCGAGAGAGAGAGAGAGGCCCAGGACCAGGAGCCTGGGTGCCTCAGTTGCTGGGAAAGTAGATGATGAGTCTGACTCAGTGGGAACATCCGGCAGGAAAGGAAGAGAGAGCAGGGGCATTTGCAAGGGAACTCGGGGTGTGTGGAGACTGAGGTGCGGTTAGGGTGCTGGGTGAGGGCCTGGCCAGGGAAGAGGCTAACCGTGGAGGGGAGGGGCGGGCCCCAGGAAGGGGGTTCCAGAGGAGCAGAGGTGGGACCTCTGGCTGGTCTGGGAAGACAGAGGGCAGAGGAGCTTTCTGCTCTGGAACCAGAAGGGCACGAGCCATGGCATGGGATTAGGGAAACGGAGGCCTTGTCAATCGGGGAGGCAGGGGACGCAGGCAAGCTGCTCCCCTGGGCACAGGGGCAGCCGTAGCTACAGGGAAAGTTGAGCGAGAAACTTTCCCAAGAAAGGCTGCTTCCTTTCTCCGGGTCAGGGAGGCCGAAAGGGCCAGCCCCAGAGAGCCTGGGCCCAGAGTCAGAGCCTGAGGAGGGAGGCTGGTGGCCAGCTGTGAGCTGCGGTGGCAAGGACCCTTCACCCCGTTCCGAAGAGACACGCACGGCCGAGCCTCCCAGGAGGGGCTGAACTTTAAAACACAGTTCAGCCTAAAGGAATGAGTGACTAATGGTGTTATTTTAGGTATGAGTAGTATTTGGTAGCAGCGACTAGGTCAGGTGAGCTTCTCGATCGCTTCAGATTATGTTCACGAGGGCTGGGGAGGAGAGGGAGGGAGGCTCCCCTGAGGCGGGGGCCCTCAGACCAGGTTGCTGAGGGGCTGTGTCCTGTGTCCTGTGGGCCTTTCTCTACTAAAGGGAGGGCTAAAGGCCGCCCATCTGGCTGCAGGCAGGCCAGCCGGGGCCTTGCTGGGCACAGGGCCATGGGGAAAGTGGGGCCTGGGGCAGGTCCCCTGTGTCGGCTCGACCTGCCAGGGAGAAGTCCTGTGGGTCTGTCTGGGGACACTGGGGCAGGGCAGGGAGAGGCGCTGGGCAGGACCAGCTGGCTGCCGGCGGCCGGGTCCTCGCCCTCTGAGGGTGGATGGGTGGGGGCAGCGGCCAAGGCGTTCCTGGCCGGGAGCCCAGAGGAGTCTTTTGTAATCACAACATGATCTCGTGTGCTGAGCAGCGAAGCCGACAGGGAGAGGCCGGCAGAGGCCTGGCTCCAGTGGCTCCAGTGTCCCTCCTGCTTCGGCTCCCCCGGGGCTGCTCTGGAATTCTCTCCGTGCCTGCTGTTGCCATGCACTCAGCTGTGAGTGGCACCTCGCCCTTGGTGGAGGGCTTCTTGGGGCTGGGAGAGGGTTGAGACATCAGGAAGCCATACTCTGGCGGCAGCTGGGCCTGGGAGGAAAAGGACTGTGCCTAGGCAGGCGGAGGGCTGGGCAGGGGCATTGGTGACCAAGGAGACCCTGCAGCCAGACACAGAGGGGCCTGGGCCTCCCTGGAACCGGCTCCCTCCTGTGCCCACTGCCAGCAGCTCACGGGCCCGAGAGGCTGGACCCCTGGGGACAGTGCTTTCCCACAGGCTGGGCGCAGGCCTGGGAAGTGGGGTCCAGGGCCTGGGAGTTCAGGACGAATCAGGGGCCTCTCTTCTCACTGTGGTTCTCGGCCTACGAGCCAAACCGCTCGCTCCTCGGCCTCCTGAATCCCCTGGCAACTTCCCAGTCACGGCAGGTTCTGCTGCCAGAGCCATTTATAACTCCCATTCCAGGCTGTGCTCAGCAGTGGCGCTCCCTGGAGAGCCGGGGGAGGGGCAGCCCCCTGCTGGGAGCCTGGGGCCTGGGTATGAGGCCTTGACCTGAGCCCGAGAATGCAGAGCGATGGGCAGACAGGCCTTGGGCGGGTGTGGGGGGGAGGGGGGCTGGGCCCTCTCTGTGCTGTCTCCCCTTGTGCCCCCAGCCCTGGGTCTCAGGTCTGTTCCTTGGGTGGTGAGAATCAGGTTGGTGGGGAGGTTGGGGCACTGGTGAGTGTTGGGCCCAGCAGTCAGGGTCGCAGGCCCCCTGCCCTCCGCAGGGGCCTCACGGAGCCGAGTCCCTGATGGACAGGCAGGAAGAGAAGGATGCAGAGCTGGACCGGAGGATAGTTGCTCTTCGCAAGAAGAACCAGGCCCTACTACGCAGGTACCAGGTGAGTGGGCTGTGCCAGGGGCGGGAGGACCAGCTGGGTGGGCAGGGTCCTCCCTGTCTGACCCGCACCCCTTGTGCGGCGGTCTCTCCCTGAGGGCTCGGGCTGGGGACGGGGCAAGGGTGGGCGTGGTCCATCTCAGAGGCTCCGGAGGGTCTTGGTGGGACACTGCCTCCTGGTGCCCCGCGGCGTCTGTGTCTCTGTGCTTCTGGGGCCTGTGCTGACCCCGGCTTGTCCCCCAGGAGATCCAGGAGGACCGGCGGCAGGCGGAGCAGGGGGGCATGGCTGTGACCACGCCGGAGCTCCTGCGCCCTGACAGCCTCACCGTCACCATCAGCCAGGTTCCCGGTGTAAGCCCCACCCGCAGGCAGGGCAGGCGGCAGGAGGTGGAGGCCCAGCCCACGTCAGGGGAGGACAACACCCCGGCCCTCTGCTTCTCCCACTTACAGTCCTGGGCTACTCTCCAGCCCCCAACCCCATGCAGCCCAAGCCACTGCTGTCCCCCATCCCCTAAGGGCCACAGCTGAAAGGCCAACAAATAGAAGCCTCTTCATACCCTTTTCAGCCCCACAGCCCTGTACATAGGCCTCAAAGCCTGGGCTACTCCTAAACCCCAAACCCCAGGGATCAGGGAGCTGGGACTGAATGCTAGGAACAGCGGATGAGGGACAAAGCCCCATTGTCCAACTGCTCTGCATTTCCCAGCTCAGAGATGACCGGTCACTGTGGCATCTTGGGCCCCAGGCCTCGATAACCTAATGCCACTGGCATGTGAACACCCATGGAGTCAGCTTCTCTGTGGGCATTCCAGGGAGGGCCAGGGTGGAGCCCAGCCTGGGGAGCCACCCAAAGGACCCAGCCCCCAGCATTGCCCACAAGGCCTGAGGGCAGAGTACCTCATTCTGCAGGAGAAGCGGGTGGTCAGCCGGAACTGGGCAAGGAGCACCCTTGGGCCTGGAGCAGCCAATGAGATGCCGGAGGACGAGGAGGTGGGGGACCTCGCTGATATTTTCTGCTTGGGGGAGCGGGTGGAGCTGGCCGTGACCATGGAAAACAAAGCCGAGGTGAGCAGGGTGGTGGGGGCAGCCCAGGGCCCGGTGTGCAGCCTCTCCTCCCCCAGCTCTGCCACATTGCCCACACTCACCTCCCCCAGGCCAAGCGGATCGTGAGTGAGAAGCCCAGACCGAGGAACTGGGGGGCAGAAGGGTCACCTGGAGAGGGCGTGGGCCGGAGCGCCTTCATGCACAGGACTGCCAGCTTGGATTCCGCTCCGAGGGTATATCTTCCAGAGGGGATGGGGGCATGGCCAGGCAGCACCAGCAAGAATTCCCACCCTTTCTTCCGTTCTCGGGCCAGTCCCTATGTTGGGTGGTCTTGCAGTGAGAGTCAGGGTAAGCCAGACCTGCGATCCAGCCCCTTACCCTACCTGGACCACTGGTGGCAAGTGGGTAGGGCCGGGAGGGAGCCAGGGACCGGCCGCGTGTGAGGTTCGACCTCTAGGTGGCAGCAGCACCTAGTCCTGGCTCTTGCTCACAGCCGCTGGGTGCCCTCACTCCGGGCCTGGCCACACACCCCTGCAGCACCCCCGTGGGTAGGTGCTACTATTTCCCCGTTTTACAGATGAGGAAATGGTACGCAGAGAGGTTAAGTAACTGCCCAAAAGACACAGCTAGCCAGTGGCTGGAAGCCATGCCTATGGCAAACAGCACGTTAGAGATGGAACATAGCCAATGTTTACACGGGGGCAGTGAAACCTTGGGAGAGGAAGGGGTTAGTAGGCTCTGGATTTCCATTCCAAACTAAGGGCACTTTCTGCTTCGACCCCATAGTTCTGAGTGTCTTTTCCTGGCAGGGTGCCCGGGAGCCCCGGAATCCAGGCCTGGGACGCTCAGCTCCCCACCGGCCAGTGTGGGAGCCCCTAGAGGAGGGCTGGGACTATGCGCGGTGGAAGCAGGAGCGGGAGGAGATTGACCTGGCCCGCCTCGCCCGGCACAGGGATGCACAGGGTGACTGGCGCCGCCCATGGGACCTGGACAAGGCCAAGCCCACGTGGGTGGCAGGGCAGGGAAGCTTGTTGGGCTGACATGCTGTGGGGCGTGGGGTCGGCTCACTGTGGGCGCTTTTTGGAGAGCTGGTCGGACCCTCCCCGGGTGGCGAGGGTCTGCCTGGGCCTTCGGGTCAGGGCTCTGTGTGAGCCCTGGGTCTCCCATCTTTCCTGGGCCCATCATCTTCCTGCTGCCCTCAGTTCTGGGGCTCGGGTGGGGGAGGTGGAGCAGGTGTGGGTCTTGCTGCAGCCTCTGTCCTCCCTGCACCAGCAGCCTGACGCCTCTCTGTCTCCACAGGCTCCAGGGCTCCAGCAAGCCTCGCGATGAGGGCCCTGGCAGGGCAGGCGGCACCAGGGGTGAGCCGCACCCCACCTCACTCCCTGCCCCTCTTTGGCTTTTTATTTTTTTTCCCCGTTGTCCCCCTCTTCCTCTCTTTTCTCTGTCTCTTGGTTTGCCACTTATTTTTAGAGCTGGAAGGAAGCACGGAAGAACATCTTCCTTCCTCTCCCTTGCTATCAGAGGAGGTCACCGTGTCCTCCCTGCTCACCCTTCAAACCACAGCTCCTGCCCCTGGTTCTGACCCCAGCTGTCTGGGGAGAAGCTCACCAGGAAGTCTGTGCTGGGTCCGAGTGAGCTGTTGGCTCCTCGCGGGCGAAAGCCCGAGCTCCCCTGCCCCTGGCCTGACGCAGAACAGAGCTCTGCGGATCCCTGGCCCCTTGTCTTGCACACGGGGAGGCTGGTGCTGGAGCGGCTGGCCTGCTACTGAGCCAGGAGTGGCAGTGAGCCAGGGACCCAGCCCTCCTGATGGCCAGACCAGGGCTCTGTGTGGGAGCCAGAAAACCCACAACTGGACCAGGAATGACCCACAGCTTCCTGGTCCTGGGAGAACTGGTGTCCCTGCTCCAAACTGGTGTTTGGATTCTTTGTCACCCTCCCTTTCCCCATTTCCTTGGCCTCACTTAGGTCCCAGGAGCCACCGGAAGCTACAGCCCCCACCACTGTCCCCTGATGGCAAAGGTGAGTTAGGAGGGAGGGAGGAGCAGGGTCCCATGAGCTGGTGAAGGAGCCGGGCTGCGAAGGCCCTTCTTCTCACCTTGATTTGTGGGCCGTTTCTTGCAGGTGGTACTACTCGGGGTGGGCCATCCAGCAGGCCTTTGGTGGCACTGGCCCTACACAGCAAAGCCCGAGGGACGGAGAGGCTGACTGGCAGGGCCCGCAGGTAACGGGGGCAGCGTCTGAGCTTGCAGGTTTCCTGGCTCCCCTCTGCCCCAGGCATTGAGGACCCACACTGGTCCGGGTGCCCGCTCCGGCCCTCCGGGCTCTGCCTCCTGGTTGACTGCTGCCTGCGGCCAGGTGGCCGGTTAATGAGACGCAGGGAGAGGCCATCAGCAAAGGCGGCAGCCGCAGAGCCTGGTGCCCAGGGAGGCCAGTGGTAATTACAGCAGTTCCCTTCCCCCGGGAAGTCAGGTGCCTTTCCCAGGCAGCGCAGGCAGGGACGTGCCTGGAGTCTCCACAGAACTCAGGGTGCTTCAGGCTTGGCCATAAATAGCAGCGGGGTACCTGAGATGGGGCTCAGGAGGGCAGTGTTCAGAGGAAACTGAATTCGGGGAGCAAGGCGGGTTGGAAGGGAGGCATCCCGGAACCTCATTCTGGCTCTGTTGCTCCTGAGACCCTGGAGCCACTGACTACGGTGCTGGTGACGTGAGTGGGGAGGATAAGAGTAGGGCCTACTGTGTGCTGTGTTTCTCCAGGTGGGAGACAAAGGAAGACAAGGAGGAGGTGGAGAGGCAGGAGGTGGGTACCTGGACAGAGGGTGGGGCGGGCTAGGGACATGAGCCCTGGCTGGCCAGCCAGCGGTGCCAATCTCTTGTTTCAGGGAAGTGAAAGCACCAGCCAGACTCTGAGTGAGAAGGAACATGCACAGACACAGAGCAGGATGGAGCAGGGCAGACCCCTGAGTGCTCCGGCAGCCAGCCCAGCTCCAGCATCCCCGGAGGGGACAAAAGGGGAATCAGAAGCTTCGACAGCCAGTCCCGTCCCTGGCTCTCCACAAAACACTGACTTGGTTCCCCTTGACCTCTCTCTAGGAGGCGCCGGCAGCCCCGGGCCTGGGAAGAAAAAAAAAGCGTGTGCCAGGCCTGGGGCCCAGGAGAGTCCCGTGTCCCCGTGGGATGGTTCTGAACAGCCTGTGTGGCGGGATGACCCCCAGGCTGAGCCAGAAGTCCAGGCTTGCTCTGAGCCACAAAGAGGAGCAGGGCCCCTAGAACCCAGAAAAGACAGGCCTGGCAAGGCTGGGGCCCAGCAGGGCCTGGCTCCGCGAAGCAGGCCCCCCAGAGGAACTGGCCAAAGAGCGAGGGGCACAGGAGGTGTGAGGAGTAGAAGAGGGGGCCCTGGCCCTGCAGGGAGATGCTGAGCAAAGCTCCTGGGAGCCGGGCACCAGGCTGGGAAGAGAAGGGAAGATCGCAGTCAAGAGCCTTCTTGGTGATGGGCGTCTGGTTGCTGTGGCTTGTGGCCATCTGGCTCAACAGTTTGGCAAACTCTCTGGCACAGTGACATGTGGGGGCAAGGAGCTGTCCTTCCCTGCACCTCGTGTGCACATCCCTGTGCATGTGTGTTTCCCACCTGGTCTCTGAGGCTGGTAAGCCCTCTCTTGGGTCTACTGCTGCCTCGGCCACAAGCTGGCCCTGCCCCGCCCCACCCCTGAGGGAGAGAGCAAGGCTGAGAAGCACTTAGCACCTGGCTGGGTGGCCTCCCTCTCCAGCTGCCAGCGTCCAGCCCCTCAGTGCCGGCACCCAGCAGCTGGCATGACCAGTCCAGGCCTGGGCCCTTCCCCTCGCCGCTGCCTCGCACCCAGATGACTCACAGCCCCAGATTCACACGGTGGCCAATCCAGCGGCCAGAAGCCTTCTGCCCTCTGGAAAAGGAGGCTGAGGCCCAGAGAAAGGGAGGCCACAGCTGCAGAGGCTGAGCTGGGGCTAGAAGAGCAGGCTCAGGTCTCCCCTAGAAAGACTTCCTCTCTGGAATGGGGTGAGAGTGGGAGGAGAGGGGACAGTCTCCTCTCCCCACAGTAAAGTGGGAGAGCTTACCATCAGGGACCACCCCCCACACCAGATCAGACACTGAGTGCACCCTGAATGGGGTCAGGGAGCAGCCCTGCAGCCTGGGGTCATTTCCTGCCATCGCCTACTTCCTCCCCCCACCACCTCACTGCACCACAGTCCGGCAAAAGCAAGGACTCAGACAGGATCTCAGAGATGAGAAACAGCAGCTCTCCATAAGTATGACAGCAGGGCTTGTCTTTCCTACTTAAGTCTCCATTTCTGCCCCTCCTCCGAGGCCCACGTCTGGTGAATTATCCAGACTCCGCACAAGCTGTGGCTTCCTCTCAATTCAACAAACATTTCCTGAGCGCACACTACCAGCAATGCAAGCCTGTGGGCGACAGTGACTTTGCCAGCAAGGGGGAGGGAGGAAACCTAGTCATCGGCAGATCCCGGCTGCACAGCAGGAGCCGTTCTTCAATGTAGGTGCCCGACAGGGGACAGAGACTGGGATGGTGGTAGGAACCCTCCCTTTCTCATCATGTGAACCCTTTGCCCCCCAAGCCCTTGCCTGGATCTTCCCATGGGACCCCCCCCCCGCCGCTCCCCTCCTCTCTGCTCCTGCCATGGCTTGTCCTCTCTGGCCTCCCCAGCTTCCCTAGGTTCTCTGGGGAGTATCCAGATTGTCCCCAGGATTTCCATTGTCAAAGGGAGGCCTTGACCATGCGGTCGCAGCCTGGGCTTCCTCACTGGTTCTCACTCCACCCTCCCCAACTATTCAGGAAGCGTGAGGAGGGGCTCCGACGGTTTCCATCAGTGCTTCTCACACATGAAGGCCCAGAGTAATGCAGATTCTAATTCAGCAGGTGGGGGTAGGCCTGGGAACTTCAATTTCTGATGCATCTCCAGCTGGTGCCTATGCAGCTGACTCCTGGACCACACTAGAGCAGTAAGGGTTTGAACCAGCATATATGGGGGCTGGGGGCAAAGACAGGCTGGACTCTCCCTGCCTGCTGCTGGCTGTGTGAGGAACGAGGAAGCGCTGCCCCTGTGTGGGGAGCTTCCTGGCTTCAGAGCTGGTGGGAAGCTGAGGCAGCTGGGAAGATGCTGGAGAGGCCAGTGAGTGGGGCTGCCAGCTTCCTGTGGTGGAGAGTGAGGAAGCGGGTGGGACAGGGCTGGGATGAAGGGGCTGGAAGAGGCTGGTGTGGGTTGACCAAAGGGGTTTGGAAAAGGCTTGGGAACATTCCTATGCGTATGGGAGGAAGACCCCTGTGAAACGAATAGGCAAGAACGAGAGAGTCCCAGCTCAAGCTTTCCTCTCGCCTTCCAGTCACACAGATACGGCGTTGGAGCTTTGCTCTGGCCCTGGAGCCCATGACTCCCAAAGGATGGAGCCGGGGTAGGCACAGCCCTTGAATGCAGGTGTCTCCAAAAATAACTGTGATCAAGACTTTGAATTCTAAGGTTCACAAACTTCTCCCAATGCCAATGCTTCCAACTGTACAGATGTGCCTTCATTCGAGGGGAGGTGCCAGGGCACGTTGACTGTGGGATGGGGGTTTAGTATTTGGGCAGAGCTCTGGTTCAGTCCTCACAACAGGACATAAGCAAGAGAGAAAGCGGGGCGGAAGGCTGTGGACAGATAGGGCTTCTCTCCCTGAGGGTCGCATCCAAAGGATGTTAGGAGGAAGGGAGTCACGAGGGGCTGGAAAGAAGACTGGCACAGGACATCTTCCCTGGAGGAAGAGGGTAGGGCGAGGCAAAGATCACTGAACTTTAACAACAAAGGGGAGCCCTGCCCTGGCCAGTGTGGCTCAGTGGTGGAGCACCGGCCCACGCACCAACAACTCTCGGGTTCGATTCCTAGTCAAGGGCACGTACTTGGGTTTGTTCCAGGCCCCGGGTTGGGGCATGTGGGAGGCAAGCAATCGATGTGTCTCTCTCACAAGAATATTTCTCTCTCTGTCCCTCTCCCACTCCCTCCCTTCCACTCTAAAATAATCAATGGAAAAAATATCCTGGGGTGAGGATTAACAACAACAACAAAAAGGGAGCCCTTCTTCAGAATAAAGGGAACCAGCTATGAGGGCCACCCCTCCTGCTCTAAGAACCAGAGATGGAGCAGGAGGGAAACGTGGGTAGGTGCCCCTCCACAAACTCGGGGTCCTGGAAGGCTGGCTTTCTCTCTTCCTGGATCCTTAAGGCCTGGTTGGGAGCCTTCCTCTTAGAATCCCTTCTCTTCTCAACCAACTGACAAGATTGCTCTTAAAAGTGGGAAATTCTTCATGAGACATGGCTTTCAGGAGCCCAGGCACAGAGCTGGAGGAACTAAGGGAGGGCACAGAGTGTAACAGGAAACCAGCAGGGAGATGACAACTTTACCGAAGGCCTCAAAACAGGGAGTGCAGAAGAGGCAGGAGGCATCTCTGTGCTGGGCCCATATCACTTCGCAGAGAGGAACAGCAGACCACATTGTAAGGGAGATATGTGTTTTGTCTTAAAAATATTTTTTATTTATTGATTCTTAGAGAGGAAGGTTGAGGGAGAGAGAGAAACATTGATGCAACATCCATCAGCTGTCTCCTGCACTTCCCCAACCCGGATCGAGACTGCAACCTGGGCATGTGCCCTGAATTGAACCAGCGATCTTTCAGTGCATGGGACAAAGCCCAACCAATTGAGCCACACCGGCCAGAGTGGGAAGGACCTTTTTTGATGATGGGACAAACATGGGCCTTGAGATCCAACAGAATCTGAATCCTGTTTGCCATCTGCCAGCGGGATGACCTTGGTCAATTTAACTTCTAAAAGCCTGTTTTCTTATCTGCAATATGGGGCTGGTAATACCTATCTTGAAGGGTTGTTCAAAAAATTAAAGATAAGAGTACAAAAAATATGCCTGCACACAATAGGCACTTTATTAATAGTAGCCTGGCACCTGGAAGGCACTTAGTGAATATTTGTTGAATAAATGAAGTAGCTATTTGGTGTGACCTGTCTACTTTGTTTCCCATCTTTTCTTTTACTTTCTCTTCTAGTCTCATCTTCACTGGGTCAGTACACCCTCAGGGAACAAGGGATGGTTTATAGAGCTCACCAGCGTTCATCCCGGGAAGTCTAGCTGAGTCAAAGCCTCAGGGAAGTGGCCCTTCTCTTACAGGGACGGTTCTTTGTCCCACCCACTAGTGGGATCCGAGGATGTCCTAGGCCAGTGGTTCTCAACCTTCCTAATGCCGCGACCCTTTAATACAGTTCCTCATGTTGTGGTGACCCCCAACCATAAAATTATTTCCGTTGCTACTTCATAACTGTAATTTTGCTACTGTTATGAATCATAATGTAAATATCTGCTATGCAGGATGTATTTTCATTGTTACAAATTGAACATAATTAAAGCATAATGATGAATCACAAAAACAATATGTAATTATATATGTGTTTTCTGATGGTCTTAGGTGACCCCTGTGAAAGGGTCATTCGACCCCCAAAGGGGTTGCGACCCACAGGTTGAGAACCGCTGTGCTAAGCGCTTCTGCCTGCCTTTGCACATTGGCTCCCACAGTTCAGAGCGGTTTCTCTTTTCCTGTTTGCATCATTAGGAATCTCATGAACTCCCACTGGTGTTTACTCCTTTAATATTTCCCCACAAACAAATTCAACTTGTGGAGTTTGCTCCATGCCTCCTAGTGTTTTGTCACCCAAAGGAGCAGCATGAATATATTTTCTTATGGTCAAGGGATGGGTAATTGGGGATCCCTGGAAGCAGGGGCTCCCCAGCTACCCAACAAGGCACAAGTTGGGAAGGTTTGACCACCAGTCAACTCCAATCCCAACCCTGGCCTCAGGGACTGGAATAGCAGGTAAAGATGGTACTAGCTCCCCAGAAGAACAAAGGAGACTGCAAAAACCCACCATACCTTCTTATTTGGGGGATTAATCAGAGGGGATCAAGGGCATAGGAGAAAGTAAAGGCACCAACCACTTCGCTTCTGCCTCTTGAGTCATTTATCAGCACCCACAGACCCCGGCAAGCGTCTTGCTGAGCAAGGGTTATCGGGGCTTTTGAGGAAGGGCTGACACTGGGTAACCACAGCCTCACTGAGGGGGAGAACTCAAGGCTGGGAAAGGCAATGAGAGGAGCCAGCATAAGGCCCAGACTGAGGCTGCTTTTTCTCAACAAGGCTGCTGGCCCGCGTCACAGCCTCTCATTAAGCATCCACTTGACGCCAGGGAAGTGAAATTGCGCAGACCTGGCACCAGAAGGAACCAATGTGGCACCCACTGCTCCTTTTAAGGACTGGCTCGAGGAGCAGCAGGCTCAGGGAGGAGGTGAGGCAAACACAGCCATACCTTTGTAGGAAGGGGCGAGATGACTGCCTCCTTCTTAACGAGCTCTCCAGGGCAAGTAATGCTGTAACTGTCACAAATATTCAACACTGTAGGCTTTTCCCCTTTTCCCACAAACTCTGGGGACACAGCATTTCCCTTCCTCCTAGCAGGGCAGCTGGCTTCAACCAAGAAGATCAAAAGCCCCCTTGATAATCATCTGTCAAAACAGAAATACCCTCAGACCTGGCCCGTGTGGCTCTGTTGGTTGGGCATCATCCCGCACACCAAGAGGTGGTGGGTTTGATTCCCAGTCAGGGCATGTGCAGGAGGCAGCTGGTTGATGTTTTTCTCACATTGATGTCTCTCTCTCTCCCTTCCTCTCCTCTCTCTGAAATCAAAATAAATAACAGGAATACCCTCACCTGTTACAGGTTCAGAGGGAAAGGCTGGACCAGGTTCTGAATTTTAGTATGCATCAGAATCACCTGGAAGGCTAGTCAAACCACAATGCTGGGCTCCATTCCTGGATTTCTCATTCACTTGGTCTGAGATGGGGCCCAAGACATGGCATTTCTAAAGGCTCATGCTGATGGTCTGGGCACGGGTGTGGTGTTTGCTACCTGTCCCTTCACATTTCTTTCCATGCATCCATTTTTCCCAAAGGGACAGACATTCCCTTGAAAATATATGACCCCATGTGTGTACACTGTACTTTTATTCCCAAGATCTCCAAGCCCTGTCGCATCTATCGCCTCCATTTGCTCTCAAGGGCCATAACCAATGCCATTACTGAGTCCTCAAGTTTCCAATTCAGGAGTCCCTCCTAAGAGCATGTGCCTCCCACCCAGGGCCTCTCGATACTGCGAGCTGTCAGTGGATCAGGGACTGGCTGCTGTGACACACATTGCCTAGACCAGGGGTGGGCAAACTTTTTGACTCGAGGGCCACAATGGGTTCTTAAACTGGCCCGGCGGGCCGGTACAAAAGCATGGATGGAGTGTTTGTGTGAACTAATATAAATTCAAAGTAAACATCATTACATAAAAGGGTACGGTCTTTTTTTTCAATAGTTTTATTCATTTTAAACGGGCCGTAGTTTGCCCACGGCTGGCCTAGACTGACCAGCAGGGAGCTGAGGGGATAAGTGGCCTCCAGAACACAGTGAGGGGAGACTCAACTCGTGACTCAGGATACTAGGAGGCAGCAGAGAGAGGTATATTTAAAAATAAATCCTTGGTAATCAACATAATTGCTTTTTTGGACAAGTTGGTTTTGGGACTTTTGAGGCTCACTTGTCACGCTGTAGGCACTAAATAAATAGTTCTTGAATTAGTGGTAGTGGTTTATGGAAAACAATCTAAATTAAGTTAGAATCTTGTTGCTGCTTAACTGATAAGCTATTGGCAAAAACAGATTACTGAAGTTAAGAAAACAGGGCAGTAACAAGGGTAGATTCTTGTTGGCACGGCTGTACATGCCTTGGGGTGAGAACTGTGCAGTAATTTTCTGGCCCCTTAGCAGTAGCTTAATGAAGGTTCAGAGTAGCACACGGGAACTGTGCTCTTTACTGACCAGGTGGCTCCGTGCATCCTGGGAGCACAGCCGTTTCTGTACTTAGGATGGAAAGCCTGGTAGAGTCTGGCTGTGTGGAAAAAAAAAAAGGTTTTGTTTTTGTATTCTTAAAATTAGATACTGGAGGGAACAAAGAGCGTCACATAGGTTTTCTGGCAGCAGAAACCCACAGGCTATGTCAGCAAGTAAAACAGATGTGACCAAAAAACTGTTGATGGGGCAGGTATTTTTATAGCTCAACACCAGGCATAACAGGTCAGAACGGAGGAGACAATGAACAGGTCACACATTCTGCGTTGCCTCCATTAAGGCCCTCGTGGAATACAGCTCCCAGGACTTCTGGAGCCTGGAGAGAGCACGCAGGCCCAGCCCAAGTCCCCCAACTTACAAATGAAGAAAACAGCGGCTAGCAAGGCCAGTCGTGATTGGCAGGGGTTCCCTTCGGCAATCAGTCCACTCCCTAGAAGCAGACTATGGGCTGTGGATGTGGGTCCACAAGTGAATTATGACCGCGACACCACAATGACACAAGGACAAGGCTATCCAACACAGTGACTAGTCAGGGGGCACCTACTACTGTGCCAGGCGCTGAGCTCCAAACACACACACACACACACACACACACACACACACACACACACACACACAACCCCCGACAGCTGTAACCCTTTTGTTAATGCAATTGCAATTCCAGAAATACCTCCATTCTCTG